TGGAGAGATAATTGAATGATTAATTGAACAACAGGATAGAGAGATCAATTTACAAACAGACTGATAGACAGGGAATTGAGTAGATAGACAAACAGATTAGCTTTGAAATATTCTTATATTTTCAGCTTTTCACTTTTAGTCTTCTTCGGTACGTGCGTTCGCCATTTTACTTATTTGTTTAATTAAAGGTGTTTGGGTGTATTTGCTGAAACTGTGTGTAATCAGTAAAGTGTGTTCCTCAGCTGATGTTCGAGGGGAAGGTCTGGAGCTCAAGTAAAGTCCAGCAGGTCACAGACAGAAGTTTCCGCTGTGAACACCCGGGCTGTGGGCGATACTACACCACCGCGCACCATCTGAAGGTACAATCCCACAGTGCACTGGGGCGGAGACTATAGATAGACATAGACGGTTCACTAATGTTGCTATGAACGAGGAAAAGTCCAACGTTCACTATGGCCACCACAATGAAGGAAGTCCCTCCTTCCAGTCAATATAGCCAGTCTTAGGTCTTTATAGCCACGCGCTTCTGTGGGGGAGGGGTCTGCGCAGATTCGTTTGTTTGTTACGTTATTGTTAGGCCAATATTGTGTGTTTGCATTGATCATGACAGGAGAAAAACATCACATATCATGTCCTTCAGTGTCGTCCTCCAGTGTTTGCGTAGGTTTTTCAGTGTTTATATCTGTGTCCCCTGCCAATCATTGCGCACACACAGTAGCTGGAGCAAACTGGAAACGATGCTTTTTAAATGTAATTAAAGCTTAAGCGACCACAGTCATTAGACAGGTCACTTCAGATTGTGTTTTGGAGATTTCTGCATTTCCTCATTTGTATATTTATTACATTAGTCTTGGATTAGCTCGCCGAGGGTGCTGCATATATGGCCGCAAGGTGAACTGACATTAATTGAAATGGAAGCCACTCACAGACGTGTGTTTGTGTGTTTCAGGTTCACGAGCGCTCACACACTGGGGACCGGCCGTACCGCTGCGAGGTGCACTCCTGCGGGAAAGCCTTCGCCACCGGCTATGGCCTGAAAAGCCACCAGCGCACACACACCGGAGAGAAACCCTACAAATGCCCTGAAGACATGTGCTATAAAGCATTCAAGACCTCCGGGGACCTGCAGAAACACGTGCGCACACACACCGGTACGAGATGCTCGTGGTCTGTGTCTTAAATAAAGCACTAATCAGACTCTCCAGGATTTCGTGATCGGCGTATTCACGACGGAAACATTTTTGAAGCTCGTCATTTTTTTAAATTGCCACATATTTTGCGCAGTCCGGACATTGTTCAAATTCCCGCCGCATCCCACAGCACCTTTTGCTTAGTTTTAGAGTTTTAGATGGATGGATGGATGGATAGATAGATAGATAGATAGATAGATAGATAGATAGATAGATAGATAGATAGATAGATAGATAGATAGATAGATAGATAGATAGATAGATAGATAGATAGATAGAATTGAACAGTAAATTCAATGATAGATATTTGAACAACAAATTGAAAGATAGATAGTTGAACAAAAATTTTTAACAACAGATAGAGTTAAATAATAAATTGAAAGAGAGAGATAATTTAACAATAAATTTAACGATAGATGGATAGATTGAACAATAGATAATTGAACAAAAAATTGAACAACAGATAGATGAACAATAAATTGAACGATAGAAAGGTAATTGAACAATAAATCGAATGATGGATAGATGAATAGATTGAAAGATAGATAGATAATTGAATAATAAATCAAATGATAGAAAAATAATTGAACAATAAATTGTTATCGATAGATAGATAATCATAGTTTTTTAAAATTGCCACATATTTCGGGCAGTTCCGGACATTGTTCAAATTCCTGCCACGTTACACAGCACCTTCTGCCTAGTTTATATTTAAAAACATTACAGTATTCGTGAATATAATGTGTTCGTCAGGTGTGCAAAGCCTCGAGTTGTCGACACACTTCATATGCCTTGGATTGTTGTGATTGACCAATCAGAATCAAGTATTTTAGATAATTGTCGATAACGCTCTTAATCATAAAATGCGATTTACATATTAATATTGATGCCATTTTTGGATTATAAACACAAATTTCAAAATAAAAGCCTCAAGTTGAAAAAAAGTGTAATTTTAGTCGCTATACCAACAATGTCCACTAGGGTAATAGTTATCCATGTTATTTGATTGCTAATAGACGACACAGGTTACGTTACAACATTTTTTATTTTTTATTTGTAAATTATAGTAAAATTATTTATAAAAAAACACTTAATATAATTATTTACAGGAAAACGACTACTGAAACCGCTACTATTATCAGTATTCCTACATAACTATATATATATCTATACTCTTCACTATAACTTTTTAAAAACAAAATTGTGATTGTATCTGCATATCAGCTTTTGTAGCACTATTAGTGGAACTAAATTACCACAACTACATAATATTATTTATTAAACAGTGGTCAAATATGAAAAATGCTATCTCATTTTTGAAGATTAGTTTAGGTTTAGCACAGGGTATTACTGTTTTAAATATGCAATAGGCCACCTGTTGTCACTTCAAGGGTTAAATGATGTTTTGCTGCTGTTTTGATTTTAAAACGTTGTAAATCAACCTATATGGTGGTGCAGATAAAATCAGTCATCCATTAGGAACTAAACGAGTAGCAAACTAGCCTCTAGCTGACACTAATGATGGGAATTTGACTCTCTCTGCAGGCGAGAAGCCCTTTAAATGTCCATTTGAGGGCTGTGGACGCTCCTTCACCACCTCCAACATCCGGAAGGTTCACACACGTACACACACTGGCGAAAGACCTTATCTGTGCCCAGAGCCGTCCTGCGGTAGAGCGTTCGCCAGTGCCACCAACTACAAGAACCACATGAGGATACACACAGGTACAGAAGTGCTAGCATTAGCAGATCACACACTTTAAGACTACGTTTACACATTAACAATGAACTGTTCAGCTGCTTTCCGGAGATTAACATTAGACATGCTCAAATCTCCTTTGTAATTTGGCCCTGTGTACACTTGCGGCCTGTATCATGAAGCTGGATTAGCTGGCTAGCCAGTTAAGTTTCAGTTTAGTTTTCAGCAATGCTGGGTTTTGGGTACCATGAAGGTAGCTTGTCTTTAATCTTTCTTTTTTTTTTGCAATGGTATTTTAGGGTCTGGTTATGTTCAGATTATGTTCTGTTTATATTTGGTTTATGTTCTAGTTCAGGTTATTTTGTAGCTATGTTCAGGTTATATTCTGTTCTGGATATGCTCTGGTCATATTCAGGTTATGTTCTTGCTATGTTCTAGTTATTTTCTTATGTTCAGTTTATGTTCTTAGTTATTTTCAGTTTATTTTTTAGTTATTTGGGTTATGATGAGGATATGATCTGGTTATTTTCAAGTTATGTTCAGCTTATGTTTAGATTAAATTCAGGTTATGTTCTAGCTTTGTTCAGGTTATGTTCTGGTTATTTTCTAGTTATGTTCAGGTAATGTTTTAGTTATATTCAAGTTATGTTCTAGCTATGTTCAGGATATGTTCTGGTAATTTTCTAGTTATGTTCTGGTTATTTTCTAGCTATGTTCAGGTTATGTTCAGGTTATTTTCTAGTTATGTCAGGTAATGTTTCGGTTATATTCAGGTTATGTTCTAGCTTTGTTCAGGTTGTGTTCAGGTTATTTTCTAGTTATGTTCAGGTAACGTTTTGGTTATGTTCAGGTTATGTTCTAGCTATGTTCTGGTTATTTTCTAGCTATGTTCAGGTTATTTTCTAGGTATGTCAGGTAATGTTTTGGCTATATTTATGTTATGTTCTAGCTATGTTCAGGTTGTGTTCTGGTTATGTTCAGGTTTAATGGTCACAAACTGCAGTGACAGTAAATACACTCATTTAACGAGCATTATATATCATAATTAAATTACATGATTTATAAAATTATTATATCTGTAATCCAGATTAGCAAATGGCTTAGATTGTTGAGTCTGTAAACCTATATATATCATAAACCATATAAACACTAAAATCAGTTGTACTAATAAGGTAAGCTGTTTTCCATTAGCTCTCCGCGTTCATGGACAGCTCTTTATACTTGCTGCGTAAATGTTTCAAAATTCTTTTTTTTTTTTTTAATTGTAAATAGCACCGACTCTCTCACAAGAAGTCAATTACAGTAGTTTTATATTATGAGACCTGCGATTATCTGTTTGCTTCTGATATCTCGCCTTGATGAATTCAGAAACAAGTCCCGTGTTAACAGAATATTAGCTTCATGGTATCAACAAGGCATTGCACATTTTTTGGTTTTCAACTTCAAACTGAACCTGTAATCCTGAGTTTGTTAAACCACCATTGTGATACCGGCCCCAGATGTAAACAGAATGTTAATATAGTGTTGCTCTTATTACTCTTTTACTATCTTCTGTTCGCTCTCTCTCAGGTGAGAAGCCGTACCTGTGCACAGTCCCCGGCTGCGGGAAGAGTTTCACAGAATATTCCAGTCTTTATAAGCATCATGTGGTCCACACACACTGTAAGCCGTACACCTGCAGCCACTGCGGGAAAACCTACAGACAGACGTCCACGCTGGCCATGCACAAACGCACCGCACATGGAGACTTCGACACCACAGAGGACGGTGAGTGTCTTTTGAAAGATGTAATTCAGTAAATTAAACTTTATTTTTTTGCAGTGGGATTTATAGTCTGGTTATGTTTTAGCTATGTTCAGGTTATGTTCTAGTTATATTTAATTTATATGTTCTATTTATAGTCAGGTTATGTAAAGGTCATATTCAGGTTATGTTCTAGTTATGTTTTAGTTATATTTAGTTTATGTTCTGGTCATATTCAGATTATGTTAAGGTCATGTTCAGGTTATGTTCTAGTTATATACGGTTTATGTTCTATTTATATTCAGGTTATGTTAAGGTTGTATTCAGTTTATGTTCTAGCTATGTTCTGGTTATATTAAGGTTGTATTTAGGTTATGTTCTAGCTATGTTCTGGTTGTATTAAGGTTGTATTTAGGTTATGTTCTAGCTATGTTCTGGTTATATTAAGGTTGTATTTAGGTTATGTTCTAGCTATGTTCAGGTTATGTTCTGGTTATATTAAGGTTGTATTCAGGTTATGTTCTAGCTATGTTTAGGTTATGTTCTGGTTATATTAAGGTTGTATTCAGGTTATGTTCTAGCTATGTTCAAGTTATGTTCTGGTTATATTAAGATTGTATTTAGGTTATGTTCTAGCTATGTTCAAGTTATGTTCTGGTTATATTAAGGTTGTATTCAGGTTATGTTCTAGCTATGTTCAGGTTATGTTCTGGTTATATTAAGGTTGTATTCAGGTTATGTTCTAGCTATGTTCAGGTTAAGTTCTGGTTATATTAAGGTTGTATTCAGGTTATGTTCTAGCTATGTTCAAGTTATGTTCTGGTTATATTAAGATTGTATTTAGGTTATGTTCTAGCTATGTTCAAGTTATGTTCTGGTTATATTAAGGTTGTATTCAGGTTATGCTCTAGCTATGTTCAAGTTATGTTCTGGTTATATTAAGGTTGTATTCAGGTTATGTTCTAGCTATGATCAAGTTATATTCTGGTTATATTAAGGTTGAATTTAGGTTGTGTTGTAGCTATGTTCAAGTTATGTTCTGGTTATATTAAGATTGTATTTAGGTTATGTTCTAGCTATGTTCAAGTTATGTTTTGGTTATATTAAGGTTGTATTTAGGTTATGTTCTAGCTATGATCAAGTTATGTTCTGGTTATATTAAGGTTGTATTCAGGTTATGTTCTAGCTATGTTCAAGTTATGTTCTGGTTATATTAAGGTTGTATTTAGGTTATGTTCTAGCTATGTTCAGGTTATGTTCTGGTTATATTAAGGTTGTATTTAGGTTATGTTCTAGCTATGTTCAGGTTATGTTCTGGTTATATTAAGGTTGTATTTAGGTTATGTTCTAGCTATGTTCAAGTTATATTCGGTTTATGTTCTATTTATATTCAGGTTATGTTCTGGTTATGGTAAGGTTATGTTCTGAAGTGATCTTTTTTGATGATAAACAATGACGCTATTTATTATTTCCATCTGTCACGAGAGCACAAGATTACCCTGCTTCAATATATGTGACGTCAAATAAGGGTTAGCACAGACGTAATCTACAAAAGTAATCTAAAAGTAGTTAGTAACCGAAGACAATTCATATGTAATCTACCCAGCACGGTTTATACAAGGATTTAAGAAAAGTCAGGCTACTACTGACTAGTTTTGTTATCATTATTATGTTGTAGCAGTTATATTGCCGGTTTTGTGTGTGCGCACAGATGCAGAGGTGTTGGACGGGTCGCCGCAGGATGTCGGGCACAGCGAGCCTGATGCTGACATCGCCATGGAAACCAACGACATCATCAGCTCACACCTGCAGGTCCTCGGCACCGCCGTCACCATGGTTACCCAGGATGGATCCACCATCTCTGTTCCTGCCCAGCAGAGCCACAGCGGCGGGCAGCAGGTCACCATGCTTACAGATGGCAAAGAGCTGCAGCCGGTGGGGGTTATTATGGGATGTGTGGCTCTGTGTGGTCGTCAGAGCTCTGATCACTCACTCAATAACTCGCTGTGCTTGTCCTGCAGGTTGCCATAGTAACATCAGACGGTATCATGACTGAAGTGAACTCGTCGGCATACCAGCAGGTGGCACTGTTAGCCACGGAAAACGGCACGCAGATCGCAGTACAGGTCATTCTTACACCACACTGTGATAGTAACTAGCTTTTGTAAGAGTTATTTTTTGGTTGAAAAAGTAAAGTAATGGATTACTTTTAATTTTTGGGTCAGTTACTATTATATACTTGCCTTAAATGATGTACATAAATTCAACAGTTCTGTATAAATCTATTCAGAGAAGCAGAGAAATGTATATACTTTGCAGAATAATTCTAGTTTTCAAGTAAATAACATGTTATTTATCAAGACAACAGCATATACTTAAGAAGTAATAAAATAATAATAAATTGGTTCAAGAAAATATAAAGTATAGTAAGGTGAAGTAATTGTAAACATATTTTAGCATATTAACTCAATTTTGTCAACTAATGAAAGTTGTTTGTTCAACAACTGCACATGCTTAAACAATGAAACGCAAATACATGCCAATATAAAATATTCATGAAATATGATGTTACGTTTAAAGTGCTCATTGTTTAAAACTAATTTAATTTTTAAATTTAATCCTGTTTGACTCAAATTTTAAGAATTAAGAGTTTAATTTATATTATCTATGCAATAAAATTTATTTGGATTAGTATTTAGTCAAGTAATTAAAGTACTTATTGAGTAAGTTACTTTAATAATTTGAAAAGTACTTTAAATACAATTGTGATGATGTAATTAGTAATAAATTACTTTTTTTGAAGTAACTTACCGAATAGTTAGTTACTTTATAGTATGTTTTGATTGCTTTTGCCATCATATCGAGCCATTTAGAGTCAACTCAAACCATTTAAAATTCATTAGCGCTGAACTAGAAGAATAACAAAGTGCAATTAACTATTTACATTACAAAGTGTGTTTACAAAAAAACAACTTGTTCTGGAAAGGTACGTTTTTGTGTACCAAAACTCGAAACGTTCTTATTTGGTCATCAATAAATGATTTAACAGGAACTAGAGTTGTACGATTTGGGGAAAATATCTAATTGCAATTTTTTTGACAGACATTGCGATTGTGATTTGCAATTTAATTTTGAAGATAAGTTTCAGGTCAATAACCTGTAAGTCGTGGCAAAAATTCAGCGTCAGCTGTTAAACGTTACCTGTTTTTGTTTGGTGTCTGTGACGTTAAAACCAAAATATTCCTATATTACCGAAGCTGTTTTTCCTTTAATATTATTTGTCTATTAATGCTGCTGAAGCGGCAGATGCCATTAACCCAATTGTCTGCACTTTCCTGTTTGTTTTTTACTGTGGGCGTTCCGTATAGTTTGGTTGCGCAATTCTGATTGGTCAAGACGAAAGTGTGGTCAGTCAATTGGCTAGAACAGACATGCGGCAGGCACGCATTTGCTCTGGGCGGGGAAAATTAAATAATACATACAGTTGAATTCAGAATTATTAGCCCCCCGTAATTATTAACCCCCATTTTTCCCCCAATTTCTGTTTAACAGAGAGAAGATTTTTTCAGCACATTTCTAATCATAATAGTGTTAATAACTCATTTCTAATAACTGATTTATTTTCTCTTTGTCATGATGACAGTAAATAATATTAGACTAGATATTCTTCAAGACACTTCTATACAGCTTAAAGTGACATGTAAAGGCTTCACTAGGGTAATTAGGCAGGTTAGGGTAATTAGGCATGTCATTGTATAACGATGGTTTGTTCTGTAGACTATCAGAATAAAATATAGCTTAAAGAGGCTAATATTCTTGACCTTAAAAGTGTTTTTAAAAAATCAAAAACTGCTTTTATTCTTGCTGAAATAAAACAAATAAGACTTTCTCCAGAAGAAAAAATATTATCAGACACACTGTGAACATTTCCTTGATCTGTTCAACACCATTTGGGAAATATTTTTAAAAAAATAAAAAAATTCAAAGGGGGTCTAATTATAATTATGACTTCAACTGTAAATATTTCATATCACAGCCTCTTGTGATTAGCTAATCACAAAGTTTCAAATTGCCATTCGATTTTGATTAATCGCACAGCCCTAACAGGAACCATATGGGCACATTAGTGAAACGTCAAAAAAATAAGGTGAACAGTAAGAATACCTCCACTTGTTTAACTGTGTCTATTGGTTTTGTGATGCAGTTAGAAGATCAACAGACGTTAGAGGAGGCAATCACCATGGCAACAGCAGCAATCCAGCACAGTGGACTGACCTCAGATCAGTGATGGATGAAAACACAGACTGGATGAACAGCGTTTTAATGTGTAGTGTGTGTGACGGAGAGTGTCTGGAGTTATTTTGTACCTGCTTTGAGGCAGTAGGATTAAAACATGCTGAAAATAAAGATGTATATTTGTTAATAAAGACACTTTATGCAGTTCGCCTGTGCATTTTGAGCCTTTAAAATGTGTCATTCTCAAATGAAATGAACAAAACCAGAACAAAGTCACTTATTAAAATGATTTACTTGTGATAACTGATCAGCTTTTAGGGATATTTTATTTAGTTGCTTTTTCTTTATTTTAGAGAAACAATATAAACCCACATTAATAAATACATCAATTTACACTTTGTTAGGAAATATGTAGTGTGTTTTTGTATAATAGAGAACTTAATAATACAGTATTGAGTAATTTTATATTAGGTGTTGTATTACCAAAGCAGATATAGAAATACCACAACAAACTACAAGTACTTAATGGTTTAACAATTTTTACTTTTAATTATAACATTGTTTCATTTGGGAAGACATTAAATAATTGTTCATCATTCGTTAAATATACGTCGCTAGATAGAGCTCATGGATAAAATTAAACTTTGAATCCCCCTGTATTAACAGTTAAAACCGTTAGAAGACGCGCAATTGAAGACGGTTAAAACTTTTTGAATCTCCCGCGTCAACTGAAAAAAAAAGTTGTTCTGTCGTTATTTCACAATCGCTTTGGTAGATTTATCGTATTATTTTTCATTTACTCGCCCAAAATTCGTTTTATTCGCGTCTCTCTCATTATTTCAGTCGTATTCTGCAGTACTGTAGTGTTTCCAGCAGAGGTCAGCAGATGTGTGCTCAAACCGGCGGTTTATACATCAGACAATCATTGAATGTAGAGAGGAAAAATAATGCTTACATCAACAAAAGATTACTAATATCGAGTTTTACACTCACGTAAAACAAAACTGTGATAAGGTAAACTGTTTTAACCAAACTACATGTTGTGGTAATTTATAACACAACAAGTATTAAACATATGACCCAGTACTGTTATCTACAACTGTTATGCAGCAATTAACCAGTTTACTGTAGTAAAGTATTATGCTGTAACAAATTGTTAATGCGTTAAGATTTAAAACTGTTTCTTAATATAATCTTTTTTTTCATGTGGAAATATTCGAGTAAATATGTACTTGCCTCAGCTTTACATTTTAATTTAGTAAATTTATTGAGCACCATTAGATTTAAAATTAAATAATATAAAACATATTCAATTTCAACAGCACAAATACCACATTTACCAACAGCCATTAATATTGTTAATACAAAGCTTGTCAAATTTTATTTTTACCTAGCCCATATAGTTCTTAGAATATCTAATGCAGTTTCAGCTATTTGTCTAACACCGCTGACTATTGTTTCAGATAATCGTCTAGTGTTATTTTTAAATATACTCATTTGACTCTTTTTAAGGTTTATTTCGACGATATTAACAGTTTTGCTGGAGAGCAAATGGGATCAGTATTTAGTCTTAAATACTGTGATAAACGTGTTTAACAGTGTCCTAAACTCAAGTTTCTGTCAGTGGTATACAGCGGATTAGCAGAATTTCCGTGCTTCGCTGCAGTTTTCACACACGCATAAACTTGTCCTCAGTTCTGCCTCGACAACAGTCTCTGATTGGCTGGGCTGCTGTGACGTCAGCCAGTGACGAGAGGGGAAGAAAAAAACAGCGGCTTTGGGGTTTCCTCTTCAACGCTGACTGGAAACTTTGTTTTGTGAGTGAGGAAGTTAAAACAGGACACGCCCAAACTAGGATTACAGCAGAATACACACCGTTCCCTTATCTGGGTGGAGTGAGATTTAGGTGAAACACTGACACCACAAACAAACTGTTAATTACTGCTCAAAGTCTGTTCTCTGCGACAGTGTGTGCTGGGTCAGCTCCAGTGTGTGTGTGTGTGTGTGTGTGTGTGTGTGTGGGCCGCTGTGGTTAGAGTCGGCTATGTAGAGCACAAGTGCCCCTAAATCTCTGTGAGTTTAGTCGTTCGGCTCTTCAGGCCTTTTTGTGTTTGAAATAACATGTAAGCGAAACAGGAAATACTCTGAATTCTGGGCTGATCTCTTCCTGTCGCGAATGGCGATCAGGTATATTGGCCAAAATAAAGGAAAACTTTAGATTAGAGTGCCAGATATTTGTCTTTCACCCCTCACTAGTGTTCATACTATACTTAACTATAGGTATACCATTATTAGGTTTCAAATTAGCTTACATTTGTACATATCTCAGGTTGGGATGGGATTTCTAAAAGTATCTTCATGACCGTTAGACATTTGTTCAATTTCCTTCGGCTTAGTCCCTTTATTTATAAGGTAGTCGACACAGTGGAATGAACCACCAACTATTCCAGCATGTTTTACACAGCGGATGGCCTTCGAGCCGCAACCCATTACTGGGAAACATGCTTATACAATACAGACAAATTTAGCTTACCCAGTTCCCCTATAGCGCATGTGTTTGGACTGTGGGGAAAACCGGAGCACCCGGAGGAAACCCATGCCAACACGGAGAGAACATGCAAACTCCACACAGAAATGCTAAATGACTGAGCCGGAAGTTGAACCAGGGACCTTCTGGCTGTGAGGCAAAAAATCTGAACACTGAGCCACCGTGACGCCTATATTTTATTTTATTTTTTTATGGTATTTTATTATTAGTATTTATTTTTATTTTTTAAATTATAATATTTAATTTATCCAAAACACTTTATCTTGTCGGCGCAATAGCCTTGTGATTAGCGTGTTGATATAGTGCAGTAGCATGTCAGGGTGTCCTGAGTTCGAATCCCGGCTTGAGGACATTTCCCTACCCCCTCTCTCTCTCAAACGTTGCTTCCTGTCTCAATACTGTCCAATCCACTTAATAAGTGCCAAAAAACAATACTTTATCTTATCTTATTTCAGTTTGCTGTCATGGCAACATTTAACATTTTTACGTTTTTCCAAGTCAAAGAAGTGAACAACAACACCATTAAGTAGGAAACATTTATAATAGTTTATCGAGTTATTGGTATCATGTGGTTAAATAGTGCAGATCTGAGCGCAGTTTAATTTATAGTAGAGTTCTCTTCCTAAACTGTAGAGGAGACACATTTGAGATTATTAAAGTGTGTTCTCTGGTATAAGTGTATATAGGTGTATGAGGGGTTAACGCTAGCAGTGCTGAGCCCCAGCTGAGGGATTGTTTGGACTGTGATGGGGGTTTGTTATGGTTGTATGAGGACATGGGGGCAGGGTGTGTGTGTGTGCGTGGAGCGACAGCTGCTGGTTTAGTTTCCCGGGAACTTTAGGACAATGAGACACTGTGAGACTTCGCCAAACAGCTGCCAAACACGTCAACACAACTAAATCACTTTACAAACTCTCACAAAACCAAATCTGCTCACACCACTTCACTTTTCTCAGCATGGGTTGAATAGTTTGCTCCAGTCTTTCTCCACAGCATCGGTGGAGAACACACAAAAGGCTCCCGCGTTCTGCTGTAAACTAATTTAATCGAACTCCAAGAACATCACATAATGAGAGAATAGTCACAATAAAATAGCAGTAAAGACGACAGGAAAGCTTAGTAACTAAAACAAGAACTAAAACTAAACATATCAATACTATTCGTGGTAACCAACTAATATAAATAACTGAAAAATAGATGCGTAAAGTACTTAAACTTAGAAACAAAACACTAAAACTGAGACACTTCATGGTCAACGGTCTAGTACTGAAAGAAAGACATAAATTAGAGTAAGTATCTACTACTTAAACTAAGACAACTACTGTATTTAACGTAGAATGAAAAAGAAAAATGCTCAGTTTAGGACTGAAAAAGAGGAAAGTTAGTATCGAAACTATTATTATACAGCTAATGGTAACATTAACTTTGTTCACCAACTTAAGAATAGAAATGTAAAATAGGACTAACACTTAGAAAATAAACACTCAAACTACGACGCTACATGGTGGCCAATTATTTTATTTATCGTAAAATGAAAAAGAGAAATGCTTAGTTTAGTACTGAACAATTAGAAACTTAGTATCGAAACTCACCTAATGGTAACTAATTATTAAACTAAATGAAGAATAGAAATGTAAAATAGTATTACAAATAACAAACACAATGCTAAAACCTTTATATTTAATGCTAAATAATTTAGATAAATGAAAAAAAACACACAAAACAGCATTAAAATTGAACTATTATAGTTAACAAAAGTGTAAAAATGAAATGTTTATCAGTCAAAAATTTGACATTTAGTATTGAAACTTGTAAAATGTAAAAATTAATGGTTTAGTAGTTAAAAATTATCAATTAATATCGAAACGTAGACCTCTGATGTTAACATGAGTAGCGTAGGTACCTAATTGAAGAATAGAATTGTAAGATAGTACTAAAACTTAAATATGACATGATAAATAATCATTAACTGAAGAAAATACGTAAAATAGTATTAAAATTCACTACTCAACTACGACACTTTGTGGTAAATAACGATTACAAAAATGTAAAAATTAAATGTTAAGTACTCAAAAATGTGACCTTTTCGAAACTTAGACACCTTTATGGTAACGGCTACATTAGTTAATTAACTGATAAAAACAAACAAAATAGTATTTAAATTTATTACTAAAACTACAACAATTTGTTAAATTAAATTAACACTGTTATAAATTAAATAGTAAGACTTCTTGGGAACCAACTTATTTAGGTAATTAACTAAAAATCAAACATAAAATACTATTAAAATTAGGTTTAAATATAAACAAAGCCAATTGACAGATCTAAAAATGAAAACCTCGGTACTAAAAGAAACACTTCGTGGTGTTACAGACAAACTAAAAAATACACACAAAATAATATTACGTACTGTAAAATTAACTTTATTCATTCATCTTCCTTCGGCTTAGTCCCTTTATTCACTACAGCAGAATGAACCGCCAACTATTCCAGCATATATTTTACACAGTGGATGTCCTTCCAGCTGCAACCCAGTACTGGGAAACACCCAAACACTCTCACATTCACACTTATTCACAACAGCCAGTTTAGTTGATCAGTTCCCCTATAGCGCATGTGTTTGGACTGTGGGGAAAACCGGAGCACCCGGAGGAAACCC